TGTAACCCATTTGCGGCTTCCAGGGGTACCCGGTTCGAGTCCCTACGACAACTCAACCACTTTCGAAGGCAAAACAGAAAGTACGAAAGGTTAGAACAAACCATCCTAGTGTCTAGGATACCAAAACTAGCAAAGGTAACCTATTATAGTTCACACACGCGACACATCCTAACACTTGAACTACACTACAGCCGACAAGAGGCCGGACTCCAAATTCAAAATCCGGTAGGTGTTCGATCCGGTCACCACACAGCGGTAGAGAACTACGAAAAATACAGCGGTACCAGGATCGACTCCCTAGACTGCACTACACCCTTCCAAAGTGGTTGAGATTCCAGGTGTAGTGCAGTCTAGGGAGTCGATCCCGGTACCGCTGTATTTTTCGTAGTTCTCTGCCGCTGTGTGATGACCGGATCGAACACCTACCGAATTTTGAATTTGGATTCCGGCCTCTTATCGGCTGTAGTGTAGTTCCAGTGTTAGGATGTGTCGCGTGTGTGAACTATAATAGGTTACCTTTGCTAGTTTTGGTATCCTAGACACTAGGATGGTTTGTTTTAACCTTTCGTACTTTCTGTTTTGCCTTCGAAAGTGGTTGAGTTGTCGTAGGGACTCGAACCGGGTACCCCTGGAAGCCGCAAATGGGTTACAGGCTGTTTGTTTTTTTGGAAGGGTGTAGTGCAGTCTAGGGAGTCGATCCCGGTACCGCTGTATTTTTCGTAGTTCTCTACCGCTGTGTGGTTAACCTTTCGTACTTTTTGTTTTGCCTTCGAAAGTGGTTGAGCTGTCGTAGGGACTCGAACCGGGTACCCGTGGAAGCCGCAAATGGGTTACAGGCTATTTGTTTTTTTGGAAGGGTGTAGTGAAGTCTAGGGAGTCGATCCTGGTACCACTGTATTTTTCGTAGTTCTCTGCCGCTGTGTGGTGACCGGATCGAATACCTACCGGATTTTGAATTTGGAGTCCGGCCTCTTGTCGGCTGTAGTACCCTGTTTGAGCCCTGTCGGGTAAAGCACAGAACCCTGCTCGAACCCTGTCTATATAAAGCACAGTACCCTGTTCGGTTCCTGTCATCATATACCAGATGCCCATCCTATAGAGGAAGTCTAACATGATCTAAATATCCATTGAAGTCTAATTAAAAACCCAGTCACCTCCTCCAAAACAGGTCTGACTCCTTATTCCATATCCTCAAACCTCACAAAGTGTACACAATGACTAGGACTAAAAGGCTATGCAGCTATGAGACATCGAATGAAAATGGAAAGAATGGAAAAAAATTGGAATTACAAAAGAACAATTGACACACTGAAAATTGAAAAATTGCGGAGCACCAATCTTTGTAGCTTGCTTATCGGTATCGTGTTTCGATCCTAGTCGTAACAGCGAACTGCTGTCACCGATACTCATGCGTCCTGCAAAAGGCACTTCTTTGGATACAGCTAGTTTACCGTCCAACTCCAGATCCTGTCACGACCTTTCACAAAACGCTTAACAACTCTCTCGACAGCTTGTGTCGGGAAGTCTTTTAGCTTGAGTTCCCGGACCAAACTCAGAACTTGACCCGGAATTCGTGATCACAGGTTCGTGTTCCGGTCGATTCCACGAAGATGGCTAGCAACAATGGCACTCTTTTGCTGCTTGCTTCCCCATGATCTGTAAGACTGTCCATTCTTGAATTTCAGGTCTCCAGAATGCCAAATAGTATACTCATTTTTTGCCATCTGGAAACACGTCACCACAGGTTGAATCAGGTTAACGGTCATCCGGGTGCCCAGAAAATCCCAAGAGCACAACCCGTCATCGGTCCGCTTCAATTGCAAGTTCCTCGGATAACACTCTTCAAAAAGTAATCTGATATGTTCCACTATCATCTGACTGTGTCTTCCTTCTAAGACAACCAAACTGACGTCGTCCATCAAGCGAATGCCGAAAACATCCCTTGTTGTCCTACCCAATGACCGCAGGAACTTGAATTCGGCGTAGGCACAAAGAATACAAGCCAGTGGTGGGCTTGTACTCTTCCCCATCGGGATCCCAACAACTTGCCTCAGCAACATTCCAGTAGCTTTGGTGTAGGTGTGCTTTAGTTCGACGCGCACGAAACCTTTAATCAGCTGCAGATCCACAGTACGCCATTGGTCGTCGCCTGTGGTTCGCCCGAAGGTACTACCCTTCCCTTTTGGGTTAACACGTAACTGGTTGCGGCCCTTACCGAGATGGTAGTCCACTAACCAGTCAACCGCTTCAACAATCTCATCATGTGGTAGTTTACTAAATATGTCTTTGATGTCATACGACATCGCTAACACCTCCGAACTAATCCCCATTCTTCTCCCAATCTTCTTGTTGATGGAGTCCAACGTCGGAACCAGTGCAGCCACAGACTTAAGATTAAAATGCCAATCTCGCGGAAGATTGTACAACAAGTGATTGAGCGCCTTGGCTACAATCCTACAACCTCTGATTGTAGGTTCTGAGTACGTAGGACAGATCAGCCGAAAGCGAGTGAGGTCCTTATGTTTTGGCATAACATAAGCCTCACCAAGCTTTCCCCTCTTGTCCCATTGCGCCAACTGCATTAGCCCAGCTTTGCACAGATCAACTCTCAATGACTCCATGACCTCAGTCTCATGATTGTCCGACACCACGTAACCAGTGCTAACTAGAAAAAGCTCCAGCATGGCCTCGTAATACACCTTCGGGTAGAGAACCAGGGTCTCACCCGGGTTCCGGTCCAAAGGTGTAATCACGAGCCCATCAAGTCTCCTAATCAAACTGTGTACCTCACGCATGTCCATAAACTTAGTGCTGGCATCCTGAGCACCAGTCAAACAAGCTTCCACATCCCCCCTTCCAATCCGTGGTTTAGGGTCTCTCCAATTGACTCATCCTTCCAAACCTGCCGTTATCGCTTGCCTTAGCAAATTACCACGATCCGGATGCGAGAATTTGGGAACGTTGTTGGCGTTACAAACTAGAGGGTGAATGCCCTCCAGCTCGTGAAGACGAAAACGGACGTGGCCACCTATCCGAGGGTAGGGAAGTCCTACACATGAGCAGGTCGCAACAGCAGCTCGGGCATACCCTCGCTGGTTGTGTATCAGGTTTGCCACGGACGGGTTCTTCACCCATACAATGCGCATACCTTTACGCGCGTGAATCTTCAAACAAGCGGAAATCTCCATCTCCTCCAATTTGTCATTAACAAGCTTCCTCACATCTACCAGCCGAATCCTATTGTCAAACTTCAACTTAACCGTGATTTTTGTATTCAACACCCACCCATAGCTGTCCTTAATAGCTCTGCCAATTAGCCGCCTAAGGTACGCTGTCGTGCCAGCTTTCTGAAAATCCTCGGCTGCACTCGTCAGCCTAATCAGGACGTAGAGATTACAATGACGCAAAGTCTCAATCCGATTCTTATTCCGTAGGATAGAGATAAGAAAATCCTTATCCTTATTCATCTTCGGTTTCCACCTCCGTAGGTGGAGAACCTCAATCTCGGTGCCCTTCTCCATGTCGCGCTTGCACTTATACAGCTTACATCACTGGCCGTTGACCTTTACGTCTGACTTGCCAAAGCTAGCTCTAATCGACTTCCATCCGCCACACCAGCAACTACCTTCCCTGAAGTGTACGACGAACTTCCTATGCCCCACCGCCTCCCGCGCTGCTAGGACTTGAAAGCAAATAACGCTCCAATCCTCCATATCTATCTTTGCTCTCACCGGTAGAACCGATTCCAAGCACCGAGTAGCACATTCCTGTGCTAGCAACATACTCCTCTCATGCCACCCTTTTCTCCTTCGTCCGCCCCCGCGCTTCACCTTTGTCTTCCAAGTGGCATTAAGAGTCGGGCTCCACCTCCGAATGTACGTCTCCTCCATAAGAATCAGTTCGGATCGCAAGCATCTATCTATAGGTATCAAGACGTAGGACTCCATGCCGAAGGTCCTCCACCATCTGTACAAATGGTTTTGTTTGCGAGCACGATTACAAACGGAGACATGCTTCTTCCATCGTGTCTTACCATCCCTCCCTGTCTGCCCAACATATTGCGCCCGACACAGCGGAGAGGTAAGAACATACACGCAATCCCCCACAGTCGTAAAGCATCCAATTCCATACCGCTTGAACAGCTCCACCCAGGGTGTAATACACTTCTGCAACCAACGGATTTGGTCAGTCAACGCTAAAACAACAATCACCAACCTATATACTAGCTCCACGGTATCATCGTGAATGTTATCATGTCAGAACTCAATCAGACATCCGCACAGAACCCTGGGTTTTCAAACTGTTCATGCATCGCTTTCAGCGTCTTCGTCATCAACCTCTTTTTCGTTATCTTCGACATTCTCACCAATGACCTCGACCGGTCCCTTCGCCTCCTCATCTCCATATGCAACTTGAGTTCGTTTCTCAGCAATAGCAAGGATAGCTTGCATTTTCCTCCCTTCGTATTCCACGTCTTCTGCCATGCAGACCCTCTTCAATTCTTCGACCGTCATGTTGCCCAAATCCCTCAGGCTGTCTGTAACAAATTTCAACTTACCCATCGTCCCCGGAGCCGCCGGGATCTTTCTTCTACTTGTCCTCGGAGTCTTCCGCGGGGTCTTGCGTGGAGGGGTCTTCGTAATTGGCCGATTGCGACAACCCAGCTAAAGACGTCTTCTTGCCGTACGCTTGGCGGGTGTTTCCATCGGCGGGCTATCCCCCACCGGTTTCTCCACACTTCGCTTCCTCTTCTCCGAAATGACTAGTTGCTCAGTCTTACGGTTGAGAGACTCAACTTCGCTCTCATATGAATCGGCATCGTCTTCATCCGAAAAAGAGGCGACCACCTTCTGTTTCCCCTTAGCCCTCTCCCTCAGGCCTCGTTCGTATCTGCGCTGAAGTGACTTGTCCAATTGCCCCATTCTGAGAGAGATGTCCATTAACATCTCTTTCCTCAATAACTGTCGGTCCTCCTCCTCCTCCTTCAATTTTTCTTCCTTTCTCGCGAGACGCCTTTGTTCAGCTGCCTATTTCTCTTCCGCCGCTTTCGCTTCCTCCTCCTCTCTCTTTTTGCGCTCGAGCTTCTCCGTCTTCCGCTTAATCTTCTCTTCCTTTGCTGCTTTCTCCGCGTCAAGAGCTTCTTTCATGGATGTTATTGTCACCGCCAATTCTTCAATTTGGCGTTTCACTACTGGATCTTCAGAGGCAGCTCTTGGTTCTTGTTGTCGTGCTTGTGGCTTCGGGGATAGCGACCTCCCGCGTTGACCATTGTACCTTGGACCTCCGTCTCTACCCAGCTTCGGGCAATGATTCCTGTAGTGACCTGGCTCCCCGCATTCATAACATACTCGAGTGAATCGCAGAGGAACCTCTCTTTGGCCCCACTGGCTGGTACTCCCTCGTTCCATGGAGCGCTCCTTGCGTCCATCCCCTTGCTGATCGCGTCCTCCGTCGCTACCACCCCAGTAACGTCCTCGATCGTTGCCCCGATCGCGACGGTCATCCCGTCCGAAATCCCGATAGTTCGAACCCACATTGGCAAAACCGATGTTATCCCACTCCTTGATACCAAAACCGCTCAGCTTACGTAGTACCAGAACCCGCAGCACAACGCAGAATCATCAACCCTCACGTATACCAACGAAATCCTACAGAACTCATCAGACAGCTACTTGTGTCATCGCACACCTCCTCCTCAATACCTCTTACAAAGAAGAAATTCACCGATCTCGAAACGTGCTCACGCTCACTTAGCGACTTCCAAGCGGGTTCATACGGGCAATCAGTAGATTACTGAATAGATGAGATAGACATGAGAAAATCAACACAGTATCAAAGACACAGTATCAAAAATCTCATGTATATTCATGTACATAGTACATAAGCACACATGTACAAATGATTGCATGCCGGTTGGGATATGGCTCCCCGACCTGTTTCGACTGCAGCCACGCGGTCATCTTCAGGGGGTTTCCACCATACGTCACCCTTCACTCAGCTCCTTCCTTCCACTTCCCACCTCCGCCTTTGACCAACTAACCATCTCTTGAAACGATTAGTGGCCGTATGCGTCCGACCCGAAAAAGACCCGATATCACGCAATCATGCCTATTATAGTTCACACACACGACACATCCTAACACTGGAACTACACTACAGTCGACAAGAGGCCGGACTCCAAATTCAAAATCCGGTAGGTGTTCGATCCGGTCACCACACAGCGGCAGAGAACTACGAAAAATACAGCGGTACCGGGATCGACTCCCTAGACTGTACTACACCCTTCCAAAAAACCAAACAGCCTGTAACCCATTTGCGGCTTCCAGGGGTACCCGGTTCGAGTCCCTACGACAACTTAACCACTTTCGAAGGCAAAACAGAAAGTACGAAAGGTTAAAACAAAACATCCTAATGTCTGGGATACCAAAACTAGCAAAGGTAATGTGTTCAAACCCTGTCTAGATAAAGCACAGAACCCTCTTCGAACCCTGTCTATATAAAGCACAGTTTTAAAAAGCACAGAACCCTGTTCGAACCCTGTCTATACCAAATATACACAAAAGAAAAAAAGAAAAAAAAAACGTAAAAAAGAAGAATAAAAAGAACTGCCAACCAAAAATCCGTCCCCCCCAAAAAAACTTTCCTTTTAATTTTAGTTTGAATTTCTCTTCTCTACCTTTTCGGTTTTTTTATTTTTTATAATTCTAAAAACTTGTCTTTTTTCAAAAAAACAAATATGGGGTTGTAGGGATTAAAAATCCCTACAAACCCGTATTTTGTTTATATATTTTTACCCATTATTTAATTCAGGAAAAATATGGTAAATTCGCATCCGAGGCGCGGACCAGGTGGGCCGCGGGCCGCCATCCGAGTTGGACCCCACGGACGCGTCCGCGGGTGTTTCATAGGCGGGAGGGGCTGGTCCTCCCGCGGGAGGTGCGGTAAGGAGAGGGTACTGAGTGGGGACGGGGCGGGATGGGCTGGGATTAACCTTTACCAGTTTTTTCATAATATGTTCCAATCGATCCATCTCGGAAGCCTGCATCTGAAGGAGGTTATTCATCCACTCAGATTGTTTAGTCGTAGCGGTATGGATCATCTGGGCCAGATGCAGATTGGTGATGGGTGCTGACGCGGCATCCTGGGCCATGACCGTGTTTACTGGTACCGCTTTAGGAGGGGGAGGAGGTTTCGTAAGGGGTAGGGCGTGATATGGGGAAGGCTCCGGGGCGGGGCCGTCTTGATAGTCTTGATCAGGACGAGGGTAGAATCGCCTAACTGCTCTGAGCCGGGACCGTCTTTTGGCCGCCACGTCCTGAATCGTGTATGAAATGTCTTCTTCTCCCTGACCAATATACTTACGCGTGTCCAACAGATCCAGCTCAAGGGCCTTGGCTATGATAACTGACAGTTGGTTTGTCTTGGGAGGGACCTTTTTCTGCAATTTCACCTTCAACACGGTGTTGCGGAGATTATCGATAAACAAATCCCGAGCCGCATTCTCTTCCCGTCCCGATTTGTCCAAGGCGGTCTGAAAACGATCCACGAAGTCAGGTAGCAACTCCCCTGGTTCCTGCAGACGGGTTTTCAATACGAACCAGGCAGCGTCTTCCCTGACCACGTCAAATCGCGCTAGGAACGCTCTCTTGAAAGTATCCCAGTCTACCCATCGGTGCCTTCTAAACCAATCATGCGCGGTGTTTCGGAGAATCAGAGTAACAGGGTGATGACCCGGGGAAGATCCTCAGCGCCATAACCCTGCGCTTGCACGGCTTCAAGCCATGCCTCTGGATAAGTATAGTTAGGATAGAAGGGAAAGGTAATGGGGATGCTCACCATCACCCGAGGAGGCGCTCCATTAGCATCAGTCATGGGCATCTCTGTTCGGGCCTCGGCAGATCTTTGTTGAGTGACGGGAGGGCTGAGGCGATTGGGTTGTTTAGCTGATCTACCTCTCGCCAACTCGTCTCACTAACGTCAGAACCGACACGTGTCGGCTCCGATACCAACCTCACACCCTGCGCTGTCTTTCATTCGGAGTGCTAAAGGTGCCGAAAGGTGGCCCCGAAAAACAGCAAGATGGGGTGTGCCAAGGATTTTTGGAAAGTTGAGTGTGGGGACACAGACGAAACTGAAATCCCCCATGTTGGTCGGATGAAGTGAGAGATCTGGTTGGCTGCGACGCGGGTTTTGAGGCGGCGCGCGTGCGCGATACGTGACGTGGGGAAGTTTGAATTCAATCCAGAAAATATTGTCGGACCTCCCACTGTGCCACGACTCGGCATTTGGAGTGGAAGGGACCGGGCACGTGTTTAGTATCCCGCTTTCGCACTAGCACCCGACGCCGCACGCTACACAATTTTGAATCCGACGTGGAAAGTCTTAATCGCGCGGCCCTTTCCTTGTGCTCGTCCTCGTTCCACGTTCGGTAATGGAACGATTGGAACCCCTTTGATTGGTAGTGATCGAGACGTTGGCAATCACTACACAAGGTGTTAGGCCAATGGGGCGCCACTGCCGACCACGAGATGACGATCAACTCGTTAAATGGTAGTAGTAGCGAGTACGGTGAAAAATGCGTATCCACAATGACAAACCCAGCGCCGACAAACCCAGAACACTGATTTTCGGGAGGGAAGTAATATTGTCCACCGACCTTCGCGACGGTTCTCGTATGTCCCACTCACAGATACGTGTCCTATCCTCGTTATACGGGAAGGTCGGGAGAGGGGATACGAGAGGCTGGCGCCCAGTCGGGTTGGGCCCGTTAGTCCACATGGCAAAGAATTAGGAAGGTTTTAACCATTCGTCGCATGCATGCAATCCTAGCAATCCAATCAAAAAGGTCAGGAAGGAGAAACAAAGGGTTCGGGGAGAGGCAAAGAAAAGTTCATGTGTGGCGAGACGCGACCGCTATTTCGTGCTCAGATTGCACGTGGCTTCAGGGGTAACCGTAGGAGTCGTGGACTCCGGGCGGGGTTGCTCGCAACACTCCTCGGTGATCACGGATCAAACCACTCTGGCATTTCCGAATAAAATCCCAATAACATTGCCCCTGCCATCAATTCGTCCTTGCGATATCTCAATCAAGGCGGGTTTCGTGCCTGTTCATTCCCATCCTCCATACATGCATTCACTGTGGAAGGTGCGAAAATGATAACCATACGATATCCCAACACGGTTGTGTTAAGAGTGAAATCCTTAACGTTGGATACACGCGCATCCACCGTTCACAAGACAAACCTACGAGATCTGGGGACTTCCCAGGAAACTAATGGAAGAGTTCCAGAAGAAATCATTCCAATCACACAATTACCACGCTCATTCCATCACACGCCAACGATTGACTTATCATGCAGAATCATTCATACCAGCGAAAGGAAGGGGAGGAGAGAAGGAAAGAGACAAAGGTAGGAGGAGAAAGGCAAAGAAGGTCCGGCTTTACCGCCACAAAATCACACCAAAGAATAGATTCGCAACCAAGAGGGTACACTTGCCACCAAATTCCAACACGGCCCCGGGCCACTCATCCACTCAACTCAGATCACCTGTCCGCATTCTGACACCGACGATCCCGGTCGTCGCGTGTCGTCCTCCACCACTGTGATCGTCACCCCGCCAACTTAGTCTCGACGTGGCTTGCCTCGATCCCACAGTCCGAAGTGGCGATCTAGCGCACCGCCAGCCAGTCTACAGTCGGCTCGTTAGGACTTTCCGACTCGCACCACACACATCGTCTAGCCCCTACGTCCCGGAAGTTGGCCGACGAGTTGAGAGAGATCATTTGCGGGGGCGCCGGCGAAATTTATAGCTGCGAGAGGGGAGAGAGATGCGGAGAAAAGCAAAGGGTGAGGTAGGGGTGGGTATAGGAGAGCTTGAGAGTGACCGCCCGTCGAAAGCCATGTTGATCCCTCCTAACTCGACCTCAGCCAATCAGAATCGTCGCGCAGTAAGAACTTACACGACGCTTTTCCTTGGCTAGATGGGGAGAGAGGATCGACTGGGTTTTCGAGCGCGGATCTTAGAGCGGGAAGAAGAAGAGCGCGAAGGATAGCGCGAAACAGGTCCAAGATTCAGATGATCAAGAAGGAGAAAAAGGGTGTGCGCTGAGAAGGGGAGGGAAAAGCAGTTACAGGGGGAGGGAGCAAGAAAGCGTGTGCGCGCGAAGAAAGACAGTGAGAGGAGCGCGGGGAGGAGGGAGGAGGGACCTTGCTTGCATGGCGCCGATCGGCAAAAGGGGAATGGGCACCAAGACAGTTGCAGTTTTTCCCAATCCTATGCTAATTCAAAAATTGAGAGCACCATATCCGGTCGCAAATCAGGCGCGGGAAAGAAAATCTTCCGTCCATTCATATTCTTACAAGAATTCCCAGAGTTTTCAAGGTCGAGGCCGAGATCATCCACGCGCGAAAGGTCACGCGATATTTCGTTCATTCCGGGATTTCTAACTGCCGAGCCGAATTCCAAGCGCACTCGCTAAGGCGCGCGAAATTCCCATGCATTTTCACCCAAACCAAAAAGGAATTGACAAACTCCAACGAGGTGCCTTTACTCACAGACAGAGTGGGGGGGGGGGGGGAGTTCTCGGAGTCGAACTGCACACATCTCGATGCAGAGAAAACACGGGAAAAAGGAAGGGGTGCGAAAGATGGCGCAGGTCCGGAAGCTAGCACGTCAGACGCCTCCAGCTGCCATCGCTCATCCGCTCGTTCCACCATTCCCTGCAAGATGACAACGTCACTTGCGGGACAATGGAGGGATTTGGGCAGTTTAGGAGGTATGCGGGCCTGCGGCCCACCTCCCTGACTCGCTTCTATGCAATCTGGCATCATCTCTATTTTTTTCAGTACTATTATTTTATACCATTTACCTGAAACAGACCTGGCCAGCATTGTCTCTACGGCGACTCCTACGGTTGGGCGACAAAAACAACGGCAGTTGCCTCGGTGGTTATCAACGACAAGGGAGCAAGGAACTACCGGGACACGTAGGTTGGTCCCACTGTGATGCGCAACCTCACGCCCTATGCTGTCTTCCGTTCGGAGTGTTAGCTGTGCGGAAAAGAGGCCCAGAAAAACAGCAAGATGGGGTGTGCCAAGGATTTTTTGAAATTGAGTATGGGGACACAGACGGAACTGAAATCCCCCGTGTTGGTCCGATGGAGCAAGTCGATCGTTTTCGCGCGTCGCAAAATGCGCGTGCGGTAAAGCGGGAAGAGAGGGAAAGATCCAAATTCAATCCAAAAAGTATTGTCGTGCCTACCGGGCTACAGCCCATCGTTTAGAACAAAAGGGCTTGGGCACGCTTCGCGTGTCCCGTTTTCGTATCAAATCTCGTCGTCGTTCGCTGGTTAGTTCTGAGTCTGACGTGGAGGGTCTCAGTCGCGTGGCTCTCTCTTTATGCTCGTCTTTGCTCCGCACACGGTAGTGAAAACCCCTGGACTCGTAGCGCTCAAAACGCTCACATTCGGTGCACAGACGCGGCCAGTGGGGTTCTACTGGCGTTCACGGAATGACAATTAACTCATTAAATGGCAACAATACCGAGTCAGGTGGAAAGTGTGTATCGATAATAACAAACCCGGCTTCTACAAACCCAGAACAGCGGTTGGCCGGAGGGAAGTAATACTGTCCGTCGATTTGTGCAACGGCTTCTCGTACGTCCCACTCACATACACGTGTCCTTTCCTCACTGTAAGGAAAAGGTCGCGTGGGGATGGAAGGTACGAGAGGCTGGCGCCCAATCGAATGGTACTTGTCAGTCCACATATCAATCAATCATAAAATATCCTGAGACGTGATTAAGAACAAAAGCAATTCGCGCGTCCCCCAATCAATCTTTTTGTCACGAGAGAGAGAGAGCAGACACCGATCAGCTTGATCACGCATATGGCTTCGGGTCCGATCAGTTCAACACAACGTAGGTCCCTGGGTGCCCTGTTTCTCAGGGCCGCCTCGTGGCTCGGCTGCTGATGTCCTGCAGCATAAGGCAGATGGCCTGCGCAGTGCAAACAGAGCTACAGATCTAAACACTCTTGCATTTTCGAACAAAATCCCGACGATAATCGTCTAATCGACAAAAGAGTCACATATTTCATTCATGCATTCACTGTGGAAGGTGCAAAAATGAGACATGCACCGGAAAAGATGGGTCGCATTGCACAGTGCACACGCATCCACCGTTCACAAGACAAGAAGGCGGGGTCCTTGCGTAGGATTACCCAAGAAACTAATGGAAGAGTTCCGGAAGAAGTTCTTTTACGCAAGGGGAGCGCCTGATTTGCTCCTACTTAGGAGAGAAAGCGAGAGATAATCAATCGAGACACATCACCATTCAAAAGTAGAAAAAAGAGAGGGGGAGAGAGAGAGATAGAGAGGAAGTCGAGGTAGGTGATGACCAGATCTGGGAGAGAGACATTCGACATGACCACCATGCACTCACGCCAAAGGTAAAAATCCGCAACAACAAAGGCGCATTCGTCGTTAATTCCAATATGGCCCCAGGCCAATCACTCACTCAACTCCAATCATCAAACCTCATACCCACACCGACGATCCCGGCCATCGCATGCTAACTCCCACCACTGCGATCGTCACCCTGCTGCCGTAAGCTCGACACGGTTCGCCCGGATCCCACAGTCCGTCGTGGCGATCAAGCACGCAACCGGCCAGCCTATCGTCTGCCCGACAGGACTTTCCGACTCGCATCAACACACTCTGCCTAGCCACTGCTTCCCGGAAGCTGGCTTAGAGTCGAGAGCGTAAGAGAGATTTGCGGACGCGCTTGCGGGTTTTATAGTTGCGACAGGAGACATAGAAGGGGGAGAAGGCGATAGGAAAGCTGAGGTGTAAGAGGAGAAGCAGGAGGAGAAGACTTTGAGAAGAGTGCTCTACGAATGCCATGCTGATCCCTCGAAACTCAAGGTTTAACCAATCAGATTCGTCGAGCGATAGGAAGGTC